TAATAATATTAATAATATTCTGCAACAGAAATTATTCTCATGTTGACTCTGAGGAATGTTCCATTGGTCAGCTGGGAGTTTAGTGCTTTGCCATGAGCTTTTGCTACATTTTTTAGTGCTTTAGAATTAGTGGCCCTAAATATTAAAGTTAGTACTTTAGAATTAGGGGACCTAAATATTAAAATTAGTGCTTTTAGAATTAGGGGACCTAAATATTAAAGTTAGTGCTTTTAGAATTAGGGGACCTAAATATTAAAGTTTGTGCTTTAGAATTAGGGGACCTAAATATTAAAATTAGTGCTTTTAGAATTAGGGGACCTAAATATTAAAGTTAGTGCTTTTAGAATTAGGGGACCTAAATATTAAAGTTTGTGCTTTTAGAATTAGGGGACCTAAATAATAAAGTTAGTGCTTTAGAATTAGGGACCCTAAATAATAAAGTTAGTGCTTTAGCGTTAGTGCAATAGGTTTGGAAAAAGTTGGACAAAGCTAACCAAAAAAAAAAAGTTTTGCTCATGCTAAACAAGTAAAATCTAGCAGAAGCTAACAGTAACAGCTAATCGCTGAGACATCTGTCTTCTTCCAGCTGCAGACTGGTGGGACTGATGTAAACACGTTAATGTTAGTTAGCTGTTAACAGATTTAAAGTTAATTTAGCAGAAGCTAATTGGTCCGCTAACAGTGAGTGAAAAGCTAATCTGCTAAATGAAGAATTAGTTTCACTGTTAGCTGTTAGTGGAGCCACGCCCACCACTGTTACACTTGACAAAAGACGGCGGGTGACGTGTATCCCCTTGTTGTCCTCTCCTCCAGGTTCTCAGTGATGTTCACGCAGCCCGCTACATTCATGGCGTGGCGGTCCACTGGTACTTGGACAGTTTCGTCCCCGCAGAGATTAGTCTGGGCTCCACCCACCACCTGTACCCGGAGTACTACCTGTTCGGCACCGAGGCGTGCGCCGGCTGGAGCACGGGGGACAGAGGCGTGAAGCTGGGCAGCTGGGAGAGGGCGGAGCAGTACGCGCACGACATCATCCAGGTGAGCAGCTCACCTGCAGCGTGTTCAGGCAGGTGAGGCAGCCGGGAGGTCCCGACAAGCTGCGTCAGGTGAGGCGTTCCGCTCTGCTGCACTCAGGTGGACAGAAACCGCCTGCAGAGCGAAGTGGACCCGTGTTCTGTTTCACTTTCACTGCGGAGAAACTACACTTTTGTTCAGACCCGTTCAGATCAATTACTGTAAACTAAATACAAATACTTTCTTACTGTACTTAAGTAGAATTAATGGTTATCTGTACTTTACTTGAGTAATTATTTTTCAGCGTACTTTTTACTTCTACTCATTACATTTTTACACAATTATCTGTACTTTCTACTCACTACATTTTTTAAAAAGGTAAGAAGTAGAAAGTTGTTACTCCTATTTTACTCCGAGGTATTAATACTTAAAAACTCCTCTCCTGATAAACTGTGTCTCCTATAGAGTGAATTTAATTGTGTTTGGATGAGAAGTATAAATAT